GGGTGGTATGGGTGGTGTTCGTCCCCCTCCTACGGTGCGGGGTTTTTTTTTATTTGAAGTTAGGACAAAGCCCTTCGAGCCGCCGGGAAGCCCCTCCGCGGGCATTCAGGGGGGTCCCCCCCCGATTTTCTTGTTTGGGAAACTTCCGGGGCGCCTGGTTTTTGGGGAGGGTTATTGCGGCGGGGGGGGGCCCTAACGAGGAGGGGGGCCCCTTGGATGTTGAGCCCGGGGGGGGGGGGGGGGGGGGGGCTGGCACCAGGCAGTGGGTGGGAAGCAGCGGAGGCTGCACCGGGCCGCTTTTTTCTGCGTACGATGACTGACATTTCCTGCGTCGAACGCTGCTGATATTTTCGCCGTGGTTTGAGGGGTTTAGATATGTACGTACGGTCTTGTTGAAGGAACGCCTGTGCCTCTCACGACAGAGGTATTTCGGTCATGAAAGGGGCACAGCGCCTGGTGGCATCATGTCAAACTGCCGCTTGGTTTGCGGTCGGGCCAATAGTACCACGATTCTTGGTACACCTGTCGATGTCACCAGATGCTGCGGGAGAGAGGGCATGGCGAACGCGTCCGTTGCTCTTGCAACAAACGAACAGGCGTACATTTTTGTCGCGTAGTCATTTGGTGGGTTTTGGGGGGGGCATCTCGAAGCAGTTTTTCGTGTGGTTAAGCCGCTTTGTCGGCGTGCGTGTTCCCAAGGGCTGTTGTTGAAATCTTGGGCACAACGCGGCTCGTCAAGAAGCGGCCTTGTCACAAGACGGGCGCCCGACCGAGCGATGCGAGGAGGAACGAGCAGTGATCTGATCCACAACATTCTCCCCTTTATTTCGTTACGTCTCCCAATCGCTGTCCCCCTCTTCGATGCGCAGACGAAGCCATGTGCGGATGCGCCGAGAGGTGTCTCCGGGTGGTGGACTCTTGGTACCACAAGCTTACGGGGACCACGGCAAAGGTGAAGTTCTCCGAGCTCGACCAGCTTGATCAGGCGGAGTCTGGCAGGATGCCGTAGATTCCGACAATCTCCGGTAGGTCACCGGCCACGTGTATAACCAGCATTCTGTTTCAGGGAAGGGAGGGTGGTGTGGTTTTCCTCAAGTCAGGCGGATCAATCGGCAGATGCGCGGGTTTGCTGCTTGGAGCATCTTAGACGGCACAAGGTGTTCGTGCAGAGATGAGCTGACACGGGCTCTCGTGGAGTAGTTGGGGTTGTAAAGATCGGCAAGGGAGAAGAACAGTGTTTCGTCTTTTTGGAACGACGGAGTTTTATGTACGGTGGCCGTTTTCTGGTCGTTCTTGCTTCTGATGATTGTAACATAAAAGAGGTTTGCTCGGGGTCCACGGCCGTTGGGGAGCCATTTGGAGAGAACTGCAGTAGTGTTGTATGCATAGCTGCGGCGTGTTGTCTTGTTGGAGCCAATTTGAGGGAAGGGTACTGTAGCTGTAGCTTTCTGGATGCTCGCTTGTTGTTTTGTTACTTTTCAGTTAGGTCCTGCGGCTACACACGAAAGTGCACTCCCACAATTCCGTGAGAACGGGAGTAAATGTTATTTGGTGATGGATGTCAGGGGTGTTGAATGTTTCATCGTGCCTTACGGATTTCGATTGGTGTTGCCTATAATAGCCTTGGCGAAGAGAGTGCGTTTTTCTCTGTTGTTGTGCTCATGTCTTGTTGTCCTTTCCTCCCCTCTTCCTCGCTGAAACCGCCAAGACCAATTCTCGTCGAGAATCTCTCTTTGTTCGCTGGTTTGCTTGTACATATCGCCGATGTTGATGCATGCCCAAAAATCGCTCGCTCTTGCCCTGGGTCTGGTGAGAAAAGGAGGGAAGGAAACTACCGCTTTTTTTGTTGGCTGCGTCGACGAGGTGTGAGTCTTGATAATCGTGGCCTGTAGAATGGGGGTGCAAGGGGGGGGGGGGAGGAGGGGGCGGTTAGCCCGGAAGCGTTGAGCATAGTTGGAAAGTATAGTATGGTTTTACCCGAGCGTGGTTGGAAGCAGCATGCGCTCGCTCGGACGTTTTTTCTCTGTAATTTCGTGAGGAGTTTGCGAGCCTCCTCTTTTGCTCATTGGCTATGCGAGAGCTTGTGTTGTGTCTGTTGTTGTTGCCGTAGATGTTTGTTTTGGCGTGTGTAGTAAGATATGTCCGTTAAAGCCAGTGGGTGTTGATCGAGCGGTGGGGTCTCCGCATATAAAATAGGAAGTAGTCAGTCCCCACCCCGGTCTTTTTGCCGTGTGTATGTCCGTTGTTGCAGCCAGTGAGTCTTGGTCGCGGCGGAGACTGCTGTTTTTGCCGTTTGGCCGTCCTCCCCTTGGGGGCGATGGTGTTTTCTCCTGTCCATCTACCGAGTATAAGTTAGGGCGTGTTGTGTCGCATGTGATGTGAAGCTGGCAGATTCGGAGTACGAGGACTGCACAGATAGTAAATGGCAATTCGGTAGCACGTATCCTAGAGCTCTTTTTGTTGTCGGGGGTAGGGGGGGGGGGGGGTCGGCTTAGGTATGAAGGCATTTGTAGTGTGCATGGAGCTGAAACGATGTGTTACGGCTGCAAAGGGGATGTTTTGCTGGGAGTCATGCCGTGGTCGAGTCAAACGTGCTTCAAGCTGGGATACTGGTCGGCGTTTTGGACCGTCCAATGCCCCAATGCCCAAGTCTGCATGGGCGAAGTCGCGCCGTTAACGTTTGACCAATGACAGGTGTTTCAACAGCGTTTAGCTGCGAACCACCTGGATTCCGTTGCGGTGGCCATTTCTTCCCAGAATGTTGGATCCACGAGCATACTTCAGAAGTCGGCAGTGATATGAGATTTTAAATGCCTGCACGAGAAAAAACTCAACCTTCGAAGAGCAAAGCTCCCGTCCACTGGTTTGTGTCGATCCACACCAAATTCTTCCGCCAAAAAATGCAGGCCCTGACAGCGCGCCACTCTGTCCTGCTAAATGTGAAGTGTCGTGAAGACAACAGCGCGTGCGTGACTCGCCCAAACCTCGACCTTCCCTGGGATCGCAGACTCGCGTGTAAGACTCTCGTCGCTGCTGTTTTTGAAGCGAGAGACATGAGAGATTCGTACGCGGTCGTCGATGACGAACGAGACGGCATCCGCTACGCTTTCGACCATACAGCACCACCTGGAAAGGGAAAGTGGCTGGGTCCAAGATCATCGTCGTTTCTTGGCTCTCAGCCGTGTCTCTCCTGCCGTCCTTGACAGCTCTGTTTCGCCCCTCCCCCCCCCCTTGTTTATATTCGTCGGGATGGCTGTTGTAGACTCCGCTGCACTACTACTACAGTACTGCAGTGTCGAACACTGCTGTGTGTAAGGTAGAGGCAAGTTTCGCACGCTATGCATAATGCACACTTTACCGTCCGGGTCGACAATACTTCAGGGACAACAGCCGGATGCAGGTGGGGGGGGGGGGGGGGGCATTCCGTACGGCGCCTGTTGGAGGAACACCTTTGGA